GTCCTCATAGGTCCTCAATATCTATCATATAGAGGTAACTATAGCTCCTCAAGGACTATCATATAAGGGGACCTATAGGTCCTCAGAAGCTCTTACATACAGATACTGCAAGACTGAATAAATTAATCTCTCGATTTCTTTAATTTCTAATAATTTTTCTGATTTCTACTGATTTCTAGTAGTAATCCAGCTTGATCCGAATAAAACTATGTTTCGTCACTATTGTGAGAAAAAAAGATGGGCTTTTTCGGGTCATATAAAAGAGCACCTTACAGAACCCCCAGGGGCCCGAACAATATTATGTTTTGTTCTTACTACAGAGAAGAAAGCTGTATTAAATGTTGATTGGTCAAGAACTTTTATGTATCGACCAATCAGATTCAAGAAAGCTGTTTCTTTACTATTGTAAGGACAAAACATGGTATTGTAAGGACCCTATGAAAGAGTACCCCAGAGAACTCCTAGATTGGCTGAAATAACTCCATGTTTTATACTTACTATAGAGAAGAAAAATCTTGCTGAAATCTAATTGGTTGGTGGATAAAGCTATCGGCCAAACTTATTTTAATACTTTTTCTTCACTATAATTAGAACAAGACATAATGTTGTTCTGGCCATTCTAGAGGTTCTCCGGAGTACTCTTTCATATGGCCCGAACAGCCCCATGTTTTGTCCTTACAATAGTGACGAAGCAGCTTTCTCAATATCATTGGGCGATACATTAAAGTTCTTGACCAGTCAGCATTTAGTACAGCTTTTCTTCTCGATAGTAAGAACAAAACATAATATTATTCGGGCCCATCGGAGTTTTCTAAGGTACTCTTTTATATGACCCGAAGAAGCCCATCTTTTGTTCTCACAATAGTGACGAAACATAGTTTTATTCGGGTCAAGCTGGATTGCTACTAGAAATCAGTAGAAATCAGAAAAATTATTAGAAATTAAAGAAATCAAGAGATCAATTTGTTCGTTCTTGCGGTATTTGTATGTGGGAGCTTCTGAGGACTTATGGGTACCTCTATATGATATGTGTTGAAGACCTATGGGTACCTTTAGACATGTTGGTTTGTGCTATGTAATAAAACATGGACTTCAAATATAGGAAAATATGAATGGGTAAATGATCTCCAAACTTGGAGTTTATGTGTAGAGTTCATTTTTTTGACCTCCCAACGTCTGCTTTCTCTGCCTTGACACTTGTGGCAATATGTATCGTTATGTCATATTCTGTGTGTTAACAAATGTTTCTTGCCCACTGAACTTGTAGCCTATGCTGATACATTGAAAAAATGCTTTTTCTTTTTGAGATTGGTTTAGCGTCTTTAATATTATACTGACTTGTAGCTCATTTTTTCTGTATATACATGGGCTTCTTAATAGTATTCAACGTGTGATTGTATATTTGTGGACTACTTGAGATTCTGTTCGCTTTACTAGCAATGTTATGTTATTTACTTTTTCGAGTTGCTAATTAAATTTCGCATGTACGAGGTAGCTTTGTGGATTCATCGTAATGATTCGATTTCTTGAATCTGTCTTTTCTCTGAGAAACATGCACATCAACATTTCTGTGTGATTTTTTTGAGATTTTTCGAATGTCGCTGATTAGATCTAATGTGGTCTTATACTGTTGGAAAACCAAACATTCTCAATTAAGTAAATTGAGTGCTGAAGCTAAAAGTAAACTGTTCATGATTGAGGTAAAAGTCTTAAAAGTTCTCTTATTATAGAGAACCATACAATACGAAACTTTTAGATAGTCTTCCACGGTATTAGGGGATAAGATTTAAGATGACAAAATTAGATGATGTGAATTTTCGAAATTTTATTTTTATTAGATCAAAGACAGTTACAAACAATAACGAACGAGGAAGAGGAAGAAGAGAGAGAGAAGACACGACACTTGACTCTGTTCCACTCCGCTCTAGTGTGACCGAAGAAAGGTGTGTGTATATATATGAAAGAAAGAAAGCGGTGGACGAGTTGATTACAAGATATCACTTGAACAAAAGAAAAGATAGACGATACCTTAACAACAAAGAGTGATATCATGTAGACAAACGAAAAGAAGAAAAAGAATAATAATAATAAAGAGAAAGAGAAGTAAATGAACTATAAGGACAAAAGATAAATATAATGTGGAAGGCCAGTCTTGTAACACACGGTGTCACCCGTTTCGCGTAAATGATATGAAATCTCTAGGTAGTCTACCTATTTGCCAACGGTTTCCTATGTATTATGTGAAACCTTTAGTTAGTTTACCAAACTACCTGTGATTTCGTTCAAAAGATACGAAACTTTTAGTTTATGTATCAAATCATCAATATTTTCGTGTAAAGGATACGGAACTTTTATTTAGTCTACGAAGATATCGGTGATTCCGTATAAAATGTGCAAACTTTTGGATAGTCTATGAAACGATTAGTGGCTTCGTGTAAAATGTACCAAGCTTTTAGACACTCTACTGAGCTACCAGTCGTTTCGTATAAAATGTGCGAAACCTTTAGACACTCTACAGAACTAGCAATCGTTTCGTGCAAAAGGTATAGAACCTTTAAATGGTATGCGGAACTATATGTCATTTCCTATAAGAGACACGAAACCTTTAGATAGTCTACGAAACCAGACATGATTTCGTCGAGATACTACGAATCCATAAAGGTTCAGCATGTGAAGCACGAAACCATAAATTAATTTACGGAACTCTTGGATGGTTTGGTTGGAAGATCACGGAACCGTGCTAAATCTGCTGAACTTAAAGGTTTTGTATGATAAGTAAGAAACCTTTTTTCTGCTGAACCTAAAATCGTTCGGTGCAAAAAAGTTGAACTTATGAAGTTCGGTAAAAAACTGATTTTTTAGAGTGTTGTGACGTAACCAGACCCATTCCGATTATGCCACTAGTTGACAGTATGAATCCCTAAATAAAAGGTTTAGTGGAAATAAGGATTTACAAAACCTTTTGTTTGTATTTTTACAAAAAGGTTCAACACGATACCTCTGTGCAGAACTTTTTTAAGTTCTCTGAAAAGATTCGGTACGGAACCTTTTTATTAATTTCGTGAAATGGTTTAGTACGAAACCTTTTGTACGAAATATTTATTCCGCTTGTCCAAAATAGGTTTTATAAGAAACCTTTTTTTGATGGAACCAAAAAAAGATCTTCCCGTGTACTTGCGGGAGGAACTTTCTTTGGTTCGGTAAAATGCTTTTTTTTTCGAGTGTAGTTTACCCAAATATGAAGGTTTGAAACCTGCCCAATGTAACAAACAAATTACTCGAATTAATAGACTTCGTAGTCATCCTATATTTCCTATATGTGTAAAATAGTCTTATATCTGAGGTATACACTCTAAATAAAAAGCGTTTTCCCAGAAACCGAAATCCCTTCGCAAACTCTTTCGGAAACTCACAAACGTATCCGGAAAGGTTTTCGGATCTAAGCTGAGTTTTGGAAATCATCGTACAGGTTTTCGAGTCCTTCCAAACGGTGCGATTTTCGAGAATTCGGATAGGAAACCTTCAACGGTATTCTCAGAAACCACAACACTGTTTTCGAAACCCAAAAATTATCCTCGGAAACCGTTCTTCTTTTGGAAACCTTCTCGGAAACTTAAAGCGTGTCGTCAGCAACCTCTCGGTTTTCGGCATTTTTTTTCGGGAACCTGCTGGGTTTCCGGGATGGGAAACGTTGGAAGCGTATGCCAGAATATTAACTTGGTTTCCGAACATATCGCGGAAACCCTTCGAGATTTCCAAATTACCAGATACCTATGAGTTTCCAAGAAAAAGTCTCGGAAACCCATTAAACATGATGGAAAAGTGAACTAGTATTACAATTTCATCTTTCTCATTGTCACGTTCCCATTGTATAGTTTACAGGTTTAGGAGTTATTCGGCAGGTATAACAGAAATCGTCTTCAGTGTATGCGAAATTGTTTTCTAAAAATTTTAGAATTCTTGTGATGCGAAAAAATTCTTTTTCTTTTCGTGAGAATCTTATCTTGTTGTTACATTCATGATTGTCTACAGTTGTAAATGCATTAAATGACAAATTTTGCTTTTGAGAATTGAGAGCTGCGCTAAATCGTAATTCCATTCAAGAAATTTCGTTTCTCTCCTTTTCCATTGAATTAAGCCTTGTCCAGTGTTCAAACATTAGTATCTTTGGAAACATTGCAGCGAAACACGGGAAGTTCTTGTGTTTAAAGATTCTTTTAACTAATTTACACGAAAGCTTGATAGACATGATATGATTGAAATCATGAGAAAAGTTCCATTTCTAATAGAATGAAACAAACATTATTATTTTGGAAGCGAAAAAAAAATTTCTTGAGATGTGTCCACATGAACAGTGATGAATCAGTGTATGATTCTATTTTCTTTGCGTTCTTGTTCTTTCTTCATATACTTAGTTTGTATGTCGAATAAAAATAAAGACAAATGCCTCTCTAATAAACAGATATTTTATAATGCATATGCGTTCTAGTATTGTTTACTTCAACTGTGGTAAAATGAATTGTCATCTGAAGATGATTGGCTGCTAGTATTCCTATAGCTTGAAATATTTAATTTTCTTAATTCAGATAATTCAGATTGAGCTCCTTGAAAGGTAAATTAACATATATTTATGAAAAAAACTGACGTATTTTGTATTAATCCTTTTCATATATATTTTCATTTAGCTGGATATTTTATTCAACTTCTTCAAAATGTCTCTATGCTTTCATAAACCAGTCTAAAATACTTTTCTTTCATCTGCACGTTAATCAGTGAAATTCCAATAATTTATGACAACCTCTTATTTTCTCTTAATATATTTGTTTTCCAAAGAAGACTCAAGTCTAGAAAATGTATCGGAAGACAAATATTTTTTGAATTCGATTCGGGATAAGAAGAAATAAAGGTAGTTCTTCAAGCGCTCTGATATTGTTATCCCAACTAAGATGCATGTACTCAGTATAAAAAAATTCCTAAGTATTGTGTTTTTTTTATTATAAATGAATAGCTCTGATCCATTAACGTGGAATGTAGACGATGTTTCACTTTGGCTACATAATTTTATTTCGAATGATGATATAGTTAATGATTTTAAACGTAAGTTATTTAAAATACCTACTGAAGTTGTTTTATGATCAGGTGATCATCATGTTTTACCTTTTTATTTCTTTATCTTCGATCCTTAATCCTAAAAAATAAGTTTTTAATTAGGCTCGTCTATTGAAGCACATGTTTCGAATATTTTAGTATCCATACATTGTGGTTGAATTTATTTTATGATTTCAGAGGACAGATCAAAGATTACACATAAATCACCAATTTTTTATTTTTTTTATGTTGAGATAGAAATATTTATAAATATGTCAAGTAGAGATTTTCTATGTTCATTTTGTTTGACTAATCGATTGTTTAACAAATTTTCCGACCTTATAACCTTATATCATGCAAGTGAACCTCACTTTCGATTAATATGTAACTTATCAGACAGCTGTGGTAGGGTGTACAAAACGTTTATCTCATACAAGGCCCATATTCATCGTCATCATAAATATCTACTTGATCTTCTGTTCCAAGAATAAGAAGATAATGTAATTAATGGTGTTGAAAATTTTTTAATCGACCAGTCCGATGCATCAGCTACTAACCACACCATAATCGATGATAATATACAAGATCTTCTTACAATGATAGTGACATCGGTGGTGATGATAATTCGCAAACTTTCGCATCTACATCCAATTTTTTTCAAGCTGATGAAAAAATTACATTTATGACGGTTCAAAAACGATACACGCTCTTTTTACTCCAGTTGAGCGAACAACATATGTTACCACAGGGAGTTATCCATAGCATCACAACAAGTATTGTAAACTTTCTTGATATGACGATCGATCTTTTAGACGAAAAAGCAAAAGAAGAAAATATTAGTGAGCAACAGTCGTCAACTACAATAATATCTACAAATAGCATAAGAAAAACTATAAAGCAAATTGAAGAATCAATTATTCTCCCAACAAAAAATGAATATCAATTTGTTCAATCTTGTAAAAATTTCTTGGATTATAAACCACCTATTGAACACCCTATCTCGTTAAAAGATGAAAAAAAAGAATATTCGTATCATGTATCAATTAAAGATTTCTTGAAAAAGATATTCGAAAAAATGAAATGGTACCGTTACTTATAAGTAACACTGAAAATCAAGATAAACTAATGCATGTTGATTCCGATTTGATGTTTGCTTTTCGGCATGAGATACGAGGCAACAAAATTAACAAAAAATCATTCTTGATTCAACTATATATTGACGGAATCGGTGTAGCCAATCCAATAGGACCAAGGAAAGGTCACCATAAAATTACTATGGTGTACTTTCTTCTGGAAGATATACCGGATATATTCCGATCAACATTACAGTGTATAAATCTAGCAGCTATTTGTTATACGAAGTATTTAAATAATAATAAAAAAACTGAAAAAATTCTACGCTCCAATCGTGAACGATTTATATGAATTGCAGTCAACTGGCTTAAGGATAAATACTTGCAACAGACAAATCTACTTTACATTTACTACAATAGCTGCTGACAACTTAGCAGCTCATGAAGTAGCAGGTTTTCAAGAAACATTTAGTTCAGGTCATTTTTGTCGTCGATGTTTGATCTCATATGAAAATCGTTTAGCATCATTAGCTGATATTGATTTTATTCCTAGAGTTAATGTGAAACACCAATATTATTTACAGCTAAAAAGCAAACATCTGCGTAGGAAATCTATATTTGGTGAAGCTGGACCGAGTCCATTCGACGAGGTAATCAATTTTGATCCGACAAAATTTTTTCCTGGTGATCTAAAGCATGACTTCTTCGAAGATAATTATTAAAAAATAAATTTCAATTATAACCTGCGTGTAAAAAGTCTTTGCACAACATGTCTGTTTAATTTTTATCCACTTCCAAGGTACTGGGCAAAATTAAAAGTAGTTCGTTATATGCAGAATTTAATGTTCTTTCTAAATCTATCACCAGAAATTTTCTATGACTTAAGGCTGATTAACTGTGCTCAAATATATGAGTAAATAGAAAATGTTGTTTGCACTAAGCAAGATATGCGTTTTTCTATCATTCATAACTTCTCTTGATAATACTGTCGGATAGATTTGATATTGTAGAGAATTTAATTTTCTACAAAATGATGAGTTGCAATAGATTAAAACTTAAAAGAATCAATAGGTATAATCATGTTTCGAACAGCTACTGATTACATTTTTCAACGAAATGATGTGTTTCGAATTTCCGCATTTAAAATGCAACATATTTCGATAAAATGTAGTAAAATGTAAAAAGAGAAGCACATTGGGTATTTTATAGACCGAGCTTCGCTCTACATACTGACGGTAAAATGGAATTTCTGGTGACTTGGATTGAGGCAGTTTTAATCAAAACACAAGAATGGACTGCATAAAATATTTTGCCCAAAAGTATTTTTACCTACATAAAAGATTTTCTTTCGATGAACCAACTTTTGAGTCAGAAAAAAATTCTGAATATACATTTAGAAAGAGCATCAAATTCTGACTGTAATGGACTACTTTTGATTTTGTCCAGTACCTTGGAAGTGGATAAAAATTAAGCAGACATGTTGTGCAAAGACTTTACACGCAGGTTACGTTTATATTTTTTTCTTATTGTAGGAGTTTGTCCTCTGATCGTGATGGCAATGCTGAAGGAAGGGTCTCGTTTAAAATTAATAACATATGCTAGCAGAGCTGGAACCGGTAACAAAATTTTGAAAACGGTCCGGTCCGGCCGGAAAACGGCCGTTTATAAGTTGTTCTTGAACCGGTGAACTTCCGGCAAACTGAATAGGTACTGATATGAATGCAAGTAATGCTTCTGTGTTTTCGATGTAGATTGTTGAAAAGAGTTCGGCTTTGAACTATGATTTTCAACGTATATTTCAGAGAACTATAATTCTTGATGAAATGTGATTAAAGTTTGCTCAATTCTGTAGAAAAAATATGCATAATGTTTAAAATTTATCAAGCATTCGAACTTTGTAAACAGTTCATCAAGCATATGCTAGCTGCCGGCAAAATCGATTGTGACTTGATAGCGAAAACGTTAACCAAAAGCAAGAATCAGAAATAGTTTTTCTTTCTCTTAAATCTCCTGCTTTAATTAAAATGAGATGTTTTGAGCCTTTTTGCACATTCTCAAGCACAAATATAGACAACTTTTAGCATTAATTTTCAAAAATATCGTTAAGCAACAAATTTTTCTTAGAAACTCATACCGGTGAAATTCCGGTTTCATCCGGCCCGGTTGGCTTTTTCAACCGGTCCGGTACCGATCCGGTATCGGTTTGCCGGACCGGTTCCAGCTCTGTATGCTAGTATACAAGAAAGAACTGAAAATTTTTCTTATGGCGTATTCGATGCATTAAACAAACCACCACCTATACAAGTAAAAACCTTCATAATAATTGCATCAATGGAACTGTAGCACAAAAATATTGTTTATTCTGTTTATTTCCGCTTATTTTTGCTAATATTACTGTACGTTTAAAAACATTCAAGATTTATTTGGTGTTGCGTGAAATACTGGACATGGTGTTGGCTGTACCTACGCGAAAGAGCTGGCTACCATATATTGAAACATTAACTATTAACTTTCAGAGTATGATGGTTGAACTTCTGCCTGAAAAAATCATACCTAAAGTACATTTCGTGACCGAATACTGGAAAATAATAGAAGAGAATGGACCAGCAATCAAATATTGGTGCATGAGATACAAAGGTGCACACGCCTATTTGAAAAAAACTGCCCTTCAATCTTACAATTTCAAAAATATTCCAAAAACGCTGGCTCAACGACAACAATTAAGACATTGTTTTTTGCTATCTGCATGTCAATTCTTGAAAACATTTCATGAAGCCAGTAGTATTAAAAAAATTGAGATGCATAGTATAAATTCAACAACCCAAGCCTTTCTCATTGAACAATTCGGAAAACAATTCATGCAACCTGATCAACCAATTCATGAATGCTCTCAATTAATTCACAATTATATTGCGTATAAAAAAGATGCTATTTACGTGTATGATTTAGAATATATAGAGGAAATTTCATCATGTTTACAAATACTTCACATATTTAAATTTAATCTACAATGGTTATTTATTGTAGATCTGCTACGTACAGAGGCTTTTAATGAGAATCTGTGGAGCTACAAAGTTAAGCCGTCTAATAAACTGAAAATTGTTACGCCAAATGATTTACATTACTGTTATAAAGGTCTAGACCTATACAAGATAGATGATTTTTTGCGTTGTTAATTTAACATCAAGATTAACGAAAGAAAACTAATATTTTAGAGAGGAAATAGTTTAAGTATTTTTTTCTTCTACTTTAACTTTCATAATGCTTTGTGATGTAACTACTCATTTTGAAGAAACTTTTCATTAAAACACTTCTTTAACTTTTTTTATATTTCAGAGAAACAAATCGATGGTGATACATTGTTTTATATGAAGGATTTCGACCTGTTAAAGCCATTTACATTGTCGTACAAAAATCAAATACTCTTTTTAAAAGAAAGAGAGAAGTTATTTTTGAGAAAAACAACAAGAGAAAATCTAACATCATCATTTCCACAACATCAGGTAACAGCAACTGTTGTCGATGATAATGTACAAAAAAAAGTGAACATTATGGTGCAGTTCAATTATCAACAGATGCAACAGCTATTACATCACTAGTTACAACAAATTGTTCAACATCTGTAAAATTATTACCAGATCCATATATATTACCAGATTTGCCTGACTAAGTCAAAAATGCAATTAATCATAAGCAGATGGAGAAATTTGATAAATTATGTAATTTCAGATCGATTGTGACCGATGCAATATTTGATGACCTAAAAAGAAATTATAATTTGATGTGAGTATAATGTTCTTATATTTCATTGAAGTTTACTATCGCCTTGTGCTAAGTTAGTTTCATTGCAATGAGAGAGCGATTGTAATAAGAATAAAAGAAATCATACTAGTACAAAAGGAACAGTTTACCATGACGCGGAATCGATCTAAGCTGCATGAAAACATCTAAGCATTTTAAAATGAATAATATTATGAATAGCTTAATCATGTATATGTGTACTTTTTTTATAGTTATCCAACAAAAACACAATATACTACTGTTATTAGTGGTCTTTTAAATCATTTAGGCGTGGAACATGATACTAAAAAAATGGTAAGCGAACTTGATCAATATTCATTACATGGTTATGAATATTCTTCATTACAGAACTCGTGGCGTGAACCATTAATTTCAAAGCTTAAAAAAGAACGTCAAAATTTGGTAAATGATGAAGTTTTACAGATAAAGATCAAATATTCGAATGAAAATTCTGGAAGAAAACTGAAAGGATATTCAATGGCAAAAGTAGCTGGAAAAAAAATTCAGAAAAATGTAAGTTATAGTCAGTTAAGTCAAAAGGCAATTTATTCTCTATTCTAGATAACAATGGTATCATGCTCATCTGGTAACACAAACCAAATGGAAAAAATAGCTGAAGCGGCTAAAATTGGTTTTGAAAATAATTCATATGATGCAGAAGAACTAAACCACTTATGGATTCAAACTTATGCATATCGTCTAGAATTCGTTAAAAATAGTACAACACAAGATATAATCAAACAATTTCCTGCTTATTCAAATCCGTATCGAGTAATGATTTTTTGCAAGGCTACTATTCTCAGACTATCAGTTTCCTTTTCAGTTATTTTCAGATATAAAAATGTTAACTGGTGTTGATTTACAAAATTCTGTTCAAGAAAAAATGGAATATCTTGCTACAAAGCTTTGCACGAATAACCAATATCCAACAGGTATATTGACCATTAGATTTCTGTGACATTAGCCAGCCTTTCATCTAGATAATGGGACAATTCGTTGTTTTAAAATATTATGTGGAATGTTAAATGACTCTTGGAAACATTATCTTCGTTTTTATCCAGAAGTAAACGATATAGTTAGCACTCGCTCTTCCTAATAAAATAGGTACATTTCACATGAATAGTGACAACAGACTCAATTTCTCAATCCAAATATCCGTTAGTACTTTCCGTAGCAGTTAAAAAAGCGTATATCATCACTTCGATTATACTTGTTCCTACATATCGATATGTGTTATCCGTTTATTAAACCCTTAATATGCTACTACTTTTTAATATTAGACAATTTATGTTAGCAAAGAACAAATACATTTCATATCATTGTCTTAACCATATTGTTCCCTCTTTTTTCTTTAGATGCCAGTTACTCCTCTACCAATAATACAAGTAGAAGATGATCATTTAAATGTTTGTCTCGCTTGGACATTCATTTGTTCATCAAAATCGATTGAAGAATCAATTGCTGTACTAATTGGATTATACTCGTTGATGGATCTCAAATTTAACACATATAGAACAACAGCAAGATTTTTGTACGTTTATTTAATGAACGATCAACAAAAACAGCCAAACAACATTAGTAAAATTTTCAAAGAACATAATATTGAACTTGAATATAAGTCCACATCATCTGTCCAACTTGAACGTCAATCTCCATCATTTGTTGAAAAAATTAAAGAAATAAACAACAATAATGATATTTTTCTTGATGATCGTGATGATAGTGTTCATGATTTAATTATTGACGTCGAAGAAAACGAAGCGGAAGAAATAAATGCCGAAATTCCAACATCAAAAACAATTTTAATGAAATCCACTTCAAAACCTTCTCAAAAAAGAAAGTCTGCTAATTTAACACAGAATACAGATTTAGCTGCAAAAGAAAACATTCCACGAAGAAAAAAACGACTAACTCCAAATGTAGCAAACGCCATTAACATCCAAATGTACGCAATCAGACAAAATTTTACTTTTAAAATTCTTTCTTTCTATCTCTTCACTAATCTGAAGGAAGCCCGTTTTCGATTTAGTAAAACAAATCAATTTTTTTTTCGTTTAAACTTTTAAATTTTATAACCATGAGAGATGTTGTTTTTAAACTGACCAATAAAAAAACGTTTTAGATTGTTTTCATTAAAACACTTATTATTCTATACTTCAACATATAATCGAATACCATTCTTTAAAAAAACTGCCATCAAGAACCATTCAGGATTTTAGCAAAGATACTGAATTCTTTAGATTCTATCTTGAAGTCTCTAACCCACCAAAGGTTCTAGGTAATTTAAAGAACTATTAGAAGTAAAACAATCGTTTAAAGTGTATACAACAGTTTTATCTGGTACTATTTCTATTCTTACTGAACTTCTTTTACAAAAATGGCAACAGCTCAAGTCGCTTGAATAATGGTCGATCACCTTTTAAAGCGACCTAAACAATCTACATTTCACATAGCTTTATTATCAAATATAATAATAAAAAAGGCAACCCACACCACTTACTTTCGTTCATAATAATTTTCAATTTACCACGGAATCATGCATATAAACACCTGCAACAGGATTATTCGAAAGAATTCGAATCCATCGAGAAACCGACTGTTTAATAATACATTTTACTAATAAAACTGCTTGCAGCGCCAACTATAATAAAAAAATGATCTCACAATCCATGCTGCTACAGACTTTGTCACAACTTCAGGAGCAAGACAATTCTCTCAGTTTTACCCATTTCAAAAACTATTAAGTCGTTTCCATACAACATAGTACGATGCATAACTTTTAAAAAACAACACCGCGGCGAAGTGCCAATGACAAATGATATGTAAAACGGCAGTATTTCTGCGGTTCCGATCTCCTGACAGGTTTTATTGAATTCAATAACATATATTTTTTCTTTCAGTTAGGTTCCTCAATATTTGATAACATAGTGAGTTTATTTTGTTCAATAAAGCATATTGTTTTCTTGCATTTAGATCTCTGAATGGAGGATGGAATAGTGAGTTTTGTATTGTTCAATAAATCTATTTTCATTCATTCAAATGTGTCAAATGAATGACTGATTGGCAACTGATTTTTCTGGAACGATTTTCTTTATTTTTCTTGCTGTGCTCGTGGGAATTCATGTTTTAGTGTTGAGTTGTGTTGTGCAGAGAATGACTTCGTTTTCTGAATTCTGAAGAGCCGTATGAGAAGATGCTCACTACTTTTTAGGAAAAGTCGGAATAATTTATTTCAACTAGTTAGAAGTCCGGATGTGTATAAATGTAATAGTGTTAGGTGCATTTGTATGACTTATCGTTGCTGATGTCGGATCAGACGCGTTGACTGGTTGAGAGAAGTTTCCAAAGTAAGCGTTGGTGTTATGCAAGACATTTAGGTTTTCGTTTTGGATGAACCAGTTTTCGAAGCGGAGAGAAAACTATTTTTAGGTACTCTGAAGAATTCGAGAGAAAGTCGGATGATGCTAGAACATTTTATGTTTTCGAAAATGATACCAAAATGTAGTAGATACAGTGTGACTGCTTTTTTTGTAGCGTGATCCGAAACCAAAAATTGTTTACAAAGATATGCAGAAATGAGAGCCGTGCTGGCGTGGTAACGAAATAATTGATCCTCAGACTTCGGCTGATCGTAGACGTTTGGCTTAAGGAGATTTACAGAGTTTATGACTTTCTGAGATTCAAATTCTCTATGATTCCAGGCTCGAACTGATTTCAACAGAGTGACTTCGAGACTGCAACTCTTCAGGGCCCTGACTTTAGCAAGCACTTTGACTTTGATATACATCAAGATTGTAGTACTATAGGGCTCGAACTGGCATCAGAGTTCTTACTTGGAAGACAGTGACATTGACGAACATGAAGACTTTCTGACTGAGACTCAGATGAGGACTCTGAGTTTGAGAATCATGAAGACTTCGAGACTTCGACGGATATGAGAACCCTAAGATGTCTTTTGTTAAAATACTCTTCGTAACGCAAGAAGCGAATTTTGCAATGCCGGATACCTATGCGAATCGGTTGTTGATTTGTAGTAGTGGAAAACGCATAAAAGATTCCCGAAGTATCGGAAGCCTTCACTGGGTTTTCGGGATCTTCAGCTTGCTTAATAGCTTTTGAGGGTTTCAGATAAGTTTCCAAATGCTCGGAAACCTCCTATAAGTTTCCCAGAAAACGGATTTTTTTAGAGTGTAGATCCTACTTTTCTAATTTTTAGTAGTACATGGCATTTATTGCCAGAATGTAGAAAAATAGGATCTATACCTCAGATATAGGATAATATAGAGCTATTTTACAAATGTAGGAAATATAGGACGACTACGAGGCCTGCGAATTAAAAGTGTCATATCCAACATCAATTGCAATTCGACTGCTCATCAGCAGACATTCGTTCTCATTATGTTTATTTCATTGATAATAAAAAAAGATTTTTGTTGTATAAATAAAATCTGTTACACACGAATCAACATTATCACAAAAATAAAAGACCGTAGCAATCTCAAGAAGTCAACAGCTGGGAAATAATGAACATCTTTACACAGAGAAATGATGACTGAAATGAAGTTTTGGATGATAAAACGAACACCTTAATCGATAGTTTTGAAAAATATTGAATATATTTTTCAATGTTAATGTATCGTGCAAAAGCAAATTTTTTCTTATCAAACTCATTTTGTAAACAAAAGTTGAATGCCGAGCAGAAGAGAAAAACGACTACAGTGGGCTTCACGTTAATAATGAATATTGTTCACAACAATATCGAGTCGGCATCATTGGACACACATCGCGTCTTCTTCTTTGCTGGATAGTGCAAGACCTCGCAGTGAACGAACGCAATCGCCAATGTTCATCAGCATTTTTTATTCTTAAAAGCATTTAAGTACGACTTTAGCAATATCGAGAAAAGTAATAGATTCAGAAAAAAAATTATTATCAAAGACAAATCAAATTCAATATAAAATTGCTTCATCATTTCAAGATAAGACGGACAAATTAATGGAAAAAAGAACAATAGATAAGTATTCACGATAGTTCTAGTGATTGGCAACGCTAGTAACCAATAGTTGAACGACTTTCCCTTCCTTTGAAAAGACACAAGTCTCATCATATTGTTTATTGTCCTTATCCTCCACAAGAACGCGCACTCGATCATCGCCATCGACTGGTAAATATTCGACAATACGAAACAAAAAATTTGGATCCAAAAACGCTTTTTCCAAATTTTTTCTTAATTCTTTCCTTGGTCGGATGATGATCTCTCCATCTTGCACCACTTCGTAGCTGGGATCGTAAAATTCAACGACTTCGTCAATGTTGTGCGCACATATAGCGACAACGATGCTCTCGCAGATTGTCTTGTATTGAGATAACGACGACAAGTTTCTTCACTTCGTAGATATCTATATAAAACATTGGAATCGACAGAATAAGATCAATCAAGATAAGCCATACTGATGGTATGCGAAATATTCGCCAAAAAACGATGGAGTTTTCTTAGTGGCATAATCAGAAGAAGTCAGAAGGGAGAAGCTCAGCGCCTTCTAGTAAGAAGCGAGCATCTGGCGAAATCTGAATCCTGCTCCGAAAGATTTTGAACAATTTTCAGATTTCGAACGCATTTTCGAGTGTTTCGGTTACATCATAATTTCTATCAGACACAAACTGAAGATATTAAACGAAGTAACTTAGATCAAGTTTGACTGAAGTTCCTACAGCACAGAAGGCAACCGAACGATAACAGATACAGTCCATATGAAAGTACGTAGGAAATTCTTTTTCTCACTGTGTGAAACACAACGGGTAATAAGTATTGAAGTATATAGCACAAAAAGTGATACCATCCCACCTCTTGGACCCGGCCTACAGATCGTGACAAACATGTCGACATGCTGCTTCCTCGATATTGTCGCGGATCGTGATCAATATTACCAGAGTCTTGATATTCAATTAAAAAGACTTCATCGTGTTTTACATTTTAACCTCCTACGGATTGCGCTGGAAGCTCTTTTGAACTGCATCTATAATACGTTCACGATCTCACAAATATTGAGGCTTGATGAGATCAAGGGTCTTTTTTCGTAGAAGTGAAATTACAAAATTTGCTTAGAACAGTTATTTGTCCTCAGACGAGTATTTCATTTTGTTGGAGAATAAAATTTATGCTTACCAATAGGACGATTGAGATGTTACTTCGGATTGCACAAATTCAACATCGTCCAGTTATTTGTAGAGAAGCTAGTATATTACTTTAGTGTTACTGCTATCTCTGTCGAGAAAGAAATGAGTAGCAATCCGATGTAAACAGTAGTCTTCTTATGGTTGCTAAGCGTCTTGATACGGTTATCACACAGCAACTCATGAGACACGAGTTCTAATTTTCTCTGTAAGGAAGGCACAAACTCATGAGATTGATAACAGTATCTACCTGCGTTTATTAACAGCGATACTGCTACGAGACATTCTCTAATATATTTCAAAGCACACAAAATGATTACTTTTGCTTTCTTTTCATCATATTCATAGTTGATCATAATATCGATATTATGCTGCCAGATTACATTTACTTTTTGTTTTCAACCATCTAATTATGATCAACATGTTGAGCTCTATAGGATCAAATTGGTACTTGATGTTCTCGTACTCGGAACTTACAGTCGGTTATCTCAACATTTGATTGTCTTGACCTGGTACAACCAACGACAAAAGCTTATTGATTACACATAATTTATTGTCTGCAACACATCTCAAGAGGGAACTACTTAGGGCATACCAAAAGTAGTGGCAGTGACACTTTCTATCCTATATTAGGCTTAAAGAAATTTTCTTTCTATACAGACTGATAGAGAAGAAGAAGCTCTATCTTTGTATGCTATTTGATCATATTTCAACTGATATCATAATATTAAATTATCTATAAAACTTATTTTCGTACAATATGTGCTGGTTGTACTTGATCATATATTATTTTTCAACATGTATCATCCTCCTTTTTGTGTACTCAAAAAGTGAGTACACTCCAGAATCGGTCAGTGTGTCCGTCCGGCCGTTAACACGATAACTTTTGAAA